TTTTTAATTAGGCTGCAACTTCATTTTAATTGTCTGGGAATACTTGGCAGAAAAAACTTCAGTGCAAGTAATTCCATAACCGTTTACATATATGCAGGGGGCTGCTGTTATCCCTTTTCTTTACCCAACCATCTTGCTGCTGGGACCTCCCCTAGAATGAGAGTTAAGGGGCTATAAAGGAGGAATGAGGTTGATTCCCTGCCTTACCTGTCATAGAAGCCCTGAAAACCTCCGATCATCTTATCCCTGCTCTATGAAGTACTTGTATAGGCATCCATCCCAAGCTTACATAATAATTTGCAACATGATAGTCCACATTTCTGTTCCATATTTTTTCCCTAAGCAAGCTCCCAGCCCACTATAGGGGAGGAGAGGGGTGGACTGGGAAAGAATTCCCTCCCTCACCTAGTAAGAAATGACTAGCATATAATGCAGGGATAGGGAACTTAAGACCTGGGGACTGGATGCGGCCCCCAGCTTGACTGGTTCTGTTCCCCAAGGATCAGGGCTCCCCCACTTCCCCCCAGCATTGGGGAGCCTGTGCTGGTGCTCCAGCTCGTCTCCCCCCTCCCTCCCATGAGCCTGGAGCACACAAAAATCTACTAGCCTGGGGAATGTGGCGGATGTTTATCTTTCTCCTTAATTGGGAGAATGTGAGTAGTTAACAGTGAGTAGTCCTGTGGCACTTTGTCAGATGAGATGAGAAGCGTGGTGTTTTAACATCTTCCAAAGATGGCAGAGCGTGTGCTGCTTTGCCTGGTTCAGGTAAAGGAGGGATTTTCATGCACCAGTGTGGACATAAATTGTCCCCCTTCTCTTCTGGTCACGTGGGAATGGAAGAGGAGGAGGTACTGGGGGGACCTGGCTTAAAAGCTGGTTCTCCCCTGCTCCAGCTCCATGGGAGAGGGTAAGGGCTCAGCAGTGGTATTCTACCTTTGAAATGTACAAGATTCCCCACTGGGGCTCTTGTACGTTTCAAAGTTGAAGCACAACATGGAGCCTGGGGCCATTTGGAGACTCCCCACTGGACCCAGGCTCACACAGTGTTTCAATCTTTGAAATGCACAAGAGCCCCTGAGGGGTAGTCCTTAAGGTTGATCTGGTATGAAGCTATCATAACAAGTAATTCTGTGGCTGTGTAGTCCTTAAGGTCCACAGACCATTTCTTATGAGAGAAAATGGCCTATACCACTTCATGTGCACTGAAGTCATTCCCAGCTATCTAAGTACATGTCTATAAAGAGCAGTTAAGATAGCAAACTTTATAAGTTACTGTATGTTTAATCAATAAAAGCAAATATTGCATAGGGGTAAGATTTCTTTAGATTAGCCTGAACTGAACAGGTAGCAAAGTTGTTAGCAGAAAGAAATCAAGAACCAAATGGAAATTATGAAAGGGTCCAGACACAAATGTTAACTGATTTCACAAGTATAATGGTATTTATGCAAGAAAAGCCTTATGTTAAAACTAAAGGAATGCACTGCACAGGAAGAATGTCTTGTAACCTCCCATGCTTTTTAGGTAATGATGGCCTTGTCAAATCACTTAAATGCAGTGGAATCAGAGAAGCAGAAATTGCGTGCTCAGGTTCGCCGCCTATGCCAGGAAAATCAGTGGCTGCGAGATGAACTAGCTAGTACCCAACAGAAATTACAGAAGAGTGAACAGTCTGTGGCTCAGCTGGAAGAAGAAAAGAAACACTTGGAATTCATGAATCAATTAAAAAAATATGATGATGATATTTCTCCATCAGTAAGTCGATGAACACTCAAAAGCACTGTACATTATCCTGCATGTTTCTTTCTGTTAGTTTCTGCTAAAGCTGCCAATGCGGGTTTTTTATCCCCAGATGTGAATTTTTATTACTTGAAGCAAATTAAAACCTATATTTGAAATGTTTATTAGGCACATCAGAGAGAGATTTCTTTATTTAAAATGTCCTAATCTTAGTAGTTTATACTTTCACACATTATAGAACTGCTTCCCAAAATAGTCTTTATTCCAGGAAGGCCTAATTTTACTGATGATAGAGTAACTACAGTTTAGACTTGGGGAAAGGGGTAGAAATGACCAGTCCATAGAACACTTACCCCCTGCAATACACTATTTTAAAAGTTTACTTTAAAAATTATATTCAGAAAGCCATAAAATGTCTGTTTTAACCCCCATTAGTAAGAAAATTGAGGGTAAGATGTGTAAATTGTTGGTATAAAAGGAAATAGCATTATTTGGAGCAGTCTGGCAGATGATTTTGATCTAGACAGAGGTCTCACAATTTCTCTCTCAAAACACTTTTCCTGTGGGATGACAGAGTGACATCACATCACTCTGATATCCCACACCTTCTGCCTTCCCCTGGGCTCCCTGTCCTGGATGCTGTTTGGGGACGGCACAACTTGCTCCAGGGCTACTTGCTTACGCTGCTTTTGTTCTTAGTGCTCATGGGCTGCTGGGCCAGCAGGCTTAAGAGATGGACCAGGCACAGGGGGAGGCACCCTGCATCCCCAGCCACGCTCCGCCCCATGCTTCACCATGCCCCAAGTGGCTGTGTCCTCAGCCCAGTGCTTAACCGCTCCACTGAGACCCAAGCCCAATCCCCAAACTGCCTCCCTTCCACCCGCCGAGTCACATGTGGGACTGCAGCAGCAAGTGGCGCTTCTGCAAGGCAGGTGAGGAGGCATCCAGCACCACTGACCTGAGTGGCCTGGGCCTCCTTTGCCTGGTGGTGCAGTCCCTCACCCTCACTCCTTCCCTGTGAAGTTGGAGCACTAGTGCTTGCTTCCTGCTGCAGGGGTGGGGGAGAAGAGGCAGGAGGGAGAGAGAATCCTAACCCTCGCTGTGCAGGAAAGAAGCTCTCCGCCTCCTGGGCTGGGGAACAGCAGTGTGCGAACACGCTGTCTGGAGCCTTTCCCTGTGCTCTCATTGGCCAGATTTTGCCTAATGGGAGCAGTGGCAGGCTGAGCCTGGGACTGGTGTGAGGCCCAAAGACAAGTGCATGCCTCCCACCCCTTCATGTCCAGACCCTGCACTCCCAACCCCTCACTCAACCTCCTGCCTTCCCAACCTGCTCCTGCTGCCCTCCTCCCGGCCAGACATCCTGCCCGTAGCCTGCTCTGCCACCCCACCCCACCCAGACACCCTGCCCCCAGTCCACTCCTGTCCCTTACCTCCCACCCAGACCTTGCACCCTCAGTCCATCCTGCACCCCACCTCCTGCCCAAATCCTGCACTCCCATCCCTAGCCCACTTACTGGCAATCCTGTCCTACACACTGTACCCCTCATTTTTGGCCCCACCCCAGAGCCTAGGGTGCACAAAATTCACTAACCCTAGAACTCCAGAAGAGTTAAGCTGGCCTGAGGCTTTGAACCTCAGTCCCCTCCTTCCCCCCCATCCTGGGGCTGGAGCACTAGGGAAATAAGGTGTTTCAGTTGGGGGACAGATGATTGAGGGTTGGGGGATTTGGAGGGGCTTTTCTGCCTTCTCTCTTGTGTGGTCCCAAACTGATTTCTCTGTCAATGGCCCCTGACCTAAAAAAGGTTCCCCAACCCTGCTGTTAATAAAGACAAGGTTGAAACCTTTTTATGTTGGACATCATTTTTAATGAAAGTAAAATATTAAGCCTGGCCAACAAACCCCCAGTTGGAGCCCAGCCCACATCTGGCTGCAGTGGCCTGTGGCAGACCCCATGCTCTAGCCCAGTCTGGCTGCAGAAAGTGCTGTGAGCAGCCCCCCTCCTGTTACAGCTTGGGTAGGAGGAGAGGCCATGATTACAGCTGTTTCGGACAAAGGAGGGTTGGCGAGCGTAGTGAGTAGGGGACGCAGCGGTCTAGTATTATTTAATGTTTACATTAACACTAGAGGCTCTAGTCCGGAAAGGGGCCCCATGATATTAGTCATTTGAAAACGTAGGCACAATCACTACTCTTTACAGTGCCATATAAAGGGTGGGGAAAATAGGAGGGCAAACAAAAATATACAGTTTTAATATACATATGTGTACCTTTGCAAAGGTGATTTCCATAATTTTAAATAGTGTTTGGTAACCTAGCTGTCCCTCAGGCTATCGTTGATTGATGTATAGGTGTTATCATGGAAATAGCTCTTGCCTTGTAAATTGTTACATTCCTAATGGTGTCTTGTATCTATTTCAATCATTTTATTTTCTTGTGACCTATTATTGCAACAGCGAGGGAGTGAGGAAAATGCATGTGTTTAGACATGCTGACCAACTGCTAGACATATCTTTTCTAGTATATTGTGAATATAGTGATTTGTTTAATCAGGTAGCCAGCTGCATGCGATGCTGGGAAATCTAAGAAAGCTAAGACTTGTTAAAAAAAAAAAAATAGCCAGTGGAGTCTATTTAAATCTTGATACAGAAGTCCTTTTGTATAGGTTAGTACAGGCAGTCCCCGGGTTACGTACAAGATAGGGACTGTAGGTTTGTTCTTAAGTTGAATCTGTATGTAAGTCGGAACTGGCGTCCAGATTCAGCCGCTGCTGAAACTGACCAGCAGTGGCTGAATCGGACACGCCTGGGGCAGAGCAGCTGGGGTGCTGCTGGGTTGGTCCCGCAGCGCCG